GAACGTTAGATTAGTTTAGGTCCTGCTGGCAGAGAGAGAGAAGTGGGTGGGAACAGACTCAAATCGAACCACGCAATCAGGAAATGGCAAAATAAATTAAGAAAAATGATTAAAAACAGTATAATTCACAGGGCTGAAGGGTTGATAAAAGTGCATACACCAAATTAGCAATAAGATCAATGAAATTCAGATTTTAAATAGTGGTTTATTCAAATTTATTTGCTCAGTGAATTATACTCTAATGTAAAATATAAGTGCAGCAGGTTTGCATGTATATAGTGGTGCTTGATAAAAATAAAATATATACAACAAAGTCTCATATAATATAGGTGCTAGGATCAAGCAATAGTTGTGGATTGTGTGCGTTTAGAACCGAAAGCGGACCAGCTAACCCTTTATTCTCTCTCTTAATTTACAGGCCGTGGTTTGTGAGACTTCAGCAAGGCCGAAGGGTACAATAGTCGATAGATCTACAGTAAATATATATATGGTATACGGTAAGAATATGGGACAGAGAGCATTTCAGCGACTTTGGGCCGCTGTCTGGACCTGCGAGAGCAAAGATTCGAGATGTGGCGACTTTCAAAATCTCGTGAGTCTTTGGTCTGCACAGGTTGGATTGGTTTGGATTGGATGGGCTGAGTTCGGTTCCTTGGGGGCTTGCCTCTCTTGTCAGGTGACAAACTGCTGTGTGCTTTCATTATTTGTAAACAAAACGAAAATAGTGGGTTAATTAAATTAAGTATTATTCATACTGTTTGCTCAGCGCCGCAGACACTTGCACATGTATTGCTGTCGCTCTGGAACAATCGCTCTGGAACAATCTTTCTCTCTCTCTGTCCGTCTCCTGCTCGTTGGTATCCATCCGAGAGCCCAACGCGAACTTCAAACATCATCATCATTCACTCCCAATGCCAATCACATCATCACATCATCGCATCATCCTCTTGATCACATCGCATATGACATCCGAGAGGGGCGACGTGGGGCGAAGGGCGGGAAGTGGAAATCACACCAACGATTATCAGGTAATTTTCAATTTGGCAAACCTTTCGATATTTTTGTTTTTATTGTTTTAAATATTTGTATTTGTAATTTTTTTTATTATTATTTAGTTTTGTTTTTTTTTTCCAAATTTGTTTCTTATTGCAGAAAAACAAATTTTAATGTTTTTGCTTTGTATGTTTTCAAGTAACTCACCACACAGATTGCAAGCATGTGCGTGGGTCAAGTAGATCAGTGGACGGCGATGACAGACGGCGGTCGGAATTGGCTGTCGAGGTGGTTGTACAGGTGGTTGTTCTTGATGCTGTTGCTGTTGTGTATTTTGATGGTGTTTTGGGTGGTGCATTTGTGCTGTAACCTGCTAGCTAGTGGCTAAGGTATCGGGTGGCAAACCACCGGGAACCCAACACGTTCAGGGATAATGCAATCGATCGGGGTTCAGATTCGGATTCGGTATCGGTATCGGTTTCATTTTCAGTTTGGTTCGATTCGGTTTCGATTCGATTCACACGTTGTTTATGGTTTTAAAAGTTAACAGAAAATCAATCACATTATGTAAATACATTTGGCATACAGATAAGTTATAAAGTTATATATATAAAGATATGCATTTATGTTTAAACATCAAGATACGTAAGGTGATGGGGTTGGACGCTCGAGCGTACCCTATTCCTACCTGCTCTTTCTTCAGCTGCTTGTCCTCCTTCTCGCGCCGCCGCACCTCCACGATATACTCGTTGAAGAGGCTCTCCCGCTCGCGCACCTTCTCGATGGCCCTGTACCGCTCCTCCTTCGCGTTTTTCTGGCTGAACTCTGAGAACGAGGATCTGAAAAACGATCAAGGATAAAAAAACATTCTTTAAACCAATGTGATAAAGGAATTATTTTAAACATATTTAAAGTGTTCAATTTTAAAATATTGTAAAAGCTGCAACACACATTTCTATCCTACAATGTTGTAAAAGTTCTTATTCTATGGAGATTTTCTTATAGCAATTAAACTCTACATTTTTCGAAAAATCAACACAATAATTTCTGTCCTTCATTTTAAATGTATCGTTAATAGATTGGGTATTAATTTTCTTTAAATATTTTTGTATAGTTCCCTAAATCTTGGTGTTCATGCGGACGATCGGTGATGTCTTAATCGAAAGAAACATATTTTATGTGTCCCAAAACACGATATACTCACTTTCCATGCAGCCTGGCTTCCTCCATTAGGCTGCGGAAGTCCTCTCGCTTCTGGCGCATCTTGTTCCGCTTCTCCTTACGCTCCTCCTCGGCTCGATCCTTGACATACTTTTCAAATACCTGTTTGCGTTCCTTTGACGTCAGCAGCAAATATCGCGGATCAAACACGATCTTGTGGAGCTCCTTTTCCCAGGTGCTGAATGCCGACACGTCCTTCTCTCTAAGCATCTCCTTGAACTGGGTGACGCGCATCTCCAAGGGTACCAGGGCCCGCTCCTTAGCCGCCCGCTGCTCCGCCTCTAGGGCAGCATCCTCGGCCCGCTTTGACTTCGAAACTGACGTTGAAAATGCATTCATTAGAATCAGTTTGGCTTAAGATGCGTGTAATAAACTTTAAAAGCCTTAGAAAAAGTTTTAAATATCGCAGTTTAAAGTTAGTTTTCAATGATAATATTCGAATACTAGCCGAAATACATTTAAATTGATTGATTAAATGTAAAAAATATAATGGTTATGCTCAATCATTGGAAGCAAAAATAAACTTACTCATTCGCACTCGTTTTGTGGGCACTTCCTCCACACTGGACTCGGACTCAGTGCGTATCTTGATCACCTCATCGTCGTCGTCATCCTCCGGTTCCACCCGTTGCACCTGCTCTTGCTGCTGGGCTTGGACTTGAGCTTGAGTCTGCTCCTGTGTGGCTTCCTCGCTGGATTTCTGGTCCGCCTCCGCCGACTTCTCTTGCGGGGTCTTCAGTTGTTCGGGTCGCTCGTTAACCGCCTTGTCCACATCCTCGCGATTCATCAAATCCTCGGGGCGATCCCAAACTGATGTTCTCGTCGAAGGATTGTAGAAGAAGACGCGGGCATCTCCTGTCCAAACGACGCACCAGGGAGTACCGGCAATGGGTGTACTTGTCACCGGTCGACTTTTGTCCGTCTGCTTGGCAGTGGCCGCCGCCTTCTTCTGCTCCTCCTCCTTTTTCCGCTTCTCCTCCGCCGCCTTCTTAGCCTCCTTTTCCAAAGCGGCAGCCTGGGCCGCTTTGTTGTTCTCCGCATTCGCTTTCATGGCAGCAGCAGCGGCCGCAAATGCAGCATGCGGATCAAATCCTGGTGGCGCTGAACCTGGTGGCATATGCATCATGGGATTGGGTAGCAGATGGGGTGGCAGTCCGGTCGGAGCCGTTGCCACAGCAGGAGCCACCCCAGAGTGGGCAGCCATTCGGGCGGCCTCCATGTCTCTCAGCGCCTGCGGCTTCTCCCACACACTCTCTCCTCGAGCAGCATGAAAATAGTACGGCCTGCCATCGGGAGCACGATGCTCTGACCATTCTGCTGCCCGTGCAATAACTGCCGGATCGATAACGCCCGGTTTGATGATCAACGACTTGGCTGGCTTATTATCCTGGCCGCCGTGCATGTGTTGCTGTTGCTGCCAGGGCGGTACACCCACGCCCCAGGGCGCTCCAGCTGGAGCCGCTCCGCCAGGAAATCCGTACGCCGGTGGCGGCATGCAAAACGGCGGCTGTCCAAACCCCGGAGGCGGTTGCATTCCGGGTGGCTGGAACATGGGCGGCGGCTGTTGGCGCACATTGGGTGGCGGCTGGGAAAGCAATGGAGCTGCCGCATTCGGTGGCGGCTGACTCATCAGATGCGGCGGCGGCTGCGAGGTGAGATGTGACGAAACCGCTGGAATCTCTCCGGGCGTCTCGACGGCCTTGACCTCTGCCTTGGCGACCTGGGCAGGTCGCTTGGCCATTTCCTCCACCTCGGCCTGGGTCATAATCTTCACATCGGGTCCTTCGGGTCGGGTCCAGGTGGTTTCCCTTGTCACCGCATGGTAATAATAGGACCTGCCGTCCTCTGCCTTGGTTTCTACCCAGATTTCCGGCGGTCCCGCCACACCATTTGCTCCAGGAGGAGGTTGTTGTTGTGTTTGCTGTTGCTGCACCTGCACCGGCTGCTGCGGCTGCTGTTGTGTCTGTTGCTGCTGCTGTAGCGCCTGCTGCTGCGGTGTGTGCTCTCGTGCCGAGTGCTCTCCTATGGGTCGGCCACTGAATGCATTAAACGGCTTGCTCCTGAAATTAGGTCAAGGTAAAATAGTTTCGATGGCAAACACACTGACTTTTCCCTAACAACGCACCACTGGCCATCGATGGGTTTTTCCTTGGCTATAGCAACGCCATTATTCGGGGCCTCTTGGCTGCCACTGCCACTGCCACTACCATTGCCGTTTCCATTGAGGCCTACTCCTGGTGGGGATTCCTTTGCCTCCGGCTTGGTGATCGGCGAACTGGTGTGCTCGCTGTCCATGCTCTCCTCTAGACTTGCTTCCATTGCACACAGATATCACTGTACGCACTCTCTCACTTTGCATTTAGAAATTTTCAGAAAATTTTCTGCACTTTTCTGCCGCTAGAGATGTAAAAACAACTTACTGGTCTCGATAGGTATGTTATCGAATAAAACAGGTCAGGTGGCAGCACAAGTTGACAACGGCGTTGCCAGACCGTATAAGTAGAGTTCACAAATCTATGTACATATATATTTTGCTTGCGACTTAGGTATTTTCCAATTTAAACTATTTGTTTCAAATTATTATTTGGCTAGTCTAGGGCTGTTGGGTTGTTTTAGCAAGGGATTATGAAAACACTCCGAAATCATAATCACCAAAAACAAAGAAATTAGCTTCTTTTGAAACATGTTGGGCACCTTAAAATCACATATCAAAAAAGGAACGCGACCAATGATTACTGATAAAGTGATTTTGATGAACGCGCCCATATTTTGTGTGGGTCCAAGACCTTAATTCCGTTACTTGGTCACACTCCGGCTTGTAAACACGTGCAGTTGCAATGGGAAAAGTCCGAAAAGTAAAAACACGGACGCCTTCAGGCGTGGACACCTCGGCTGACCTGGAGCAGGCCCTGGACTCGGATGCGGCGGGTGAGTCGGCGGGCTGCGGTCCCATCGAAGCGATCTGCGTGCACCTGCAGCGTTCGGATGTAGAGGACAAGCTGAACGGACTGCACTCCTTCGCCGTGCTGGCGCTGCGCAAGGAGAAGGTGCGTGAGATTTGCGGCAGCGAACTGGCCCGAATTGCGGCGCCCCTGCTGTGTGACAAGGACAGCGCCATCCGCAATGCGGCGGCTGGTGCCTTTCGAAACTTATCCGTGTTTGGCACGGAAGTGTGCGACTTTCTCGTGGAAAGCGACATACTGACCGCCCTGCTGACGCTCATCCGGGGCTATGATCTGACCCAAAACGGGTTCGAGAACGAACTACATGCGGACACCTTTCTGCAGGCGATACATGTGCTCCGCAATTTGTGCGAGAGCTCGCCCACGGCCACAGAAGCCTTCAATCAGGCAAACTTCCTTCCCAGTCTGCTGATGGGCTTCGATTACCGGAAATTCGGCCTGGAAGTTGCCATTTCGGTGGCCCAACTGGTGCTGGTGGTGTCCGAGAACAATAGCAGCTCGTGGAACGTTCTGGCCAGCAGTAGCATACTACCAGAGCTCCTGACCGTTCCCGCCGAGAGCCATGCACAGCTTTACCTCAACGCCCTGGCCGCTGGAATCTTGTGCAACGTGCCCGCCTGCTCGGCGGCCCACACTCGCGAGATCCTCAACAGCCTGGACAAACTGCTCACCATCGATCCGCAGGTCCAGCTGTTGAGCTGCAAAGCCGAGATACAGAATTCCAAGTCAAAGAACGAAGCACCCGTGCTGGAAATCTCAATGGAGACGGAGGAAATGGCGGAAGCACAGAGCGTCAATCAGTCCAAGCCAAATCAATGCGATGCTGATGTGACACTCAAGAACCTGGAACACTTGCTTGACGCCCAGCGACTGGTGGCGGAGATTATCACGAATCTGGGCTCCAGCGACGACCAAAGCAACTGGGGTACGGATAGCGAGCAGTCGGAGACCGAAAGCGTGGCCGACTTCGACATGGAGGACGAGGCGGTTGATAGTGGTGCGGGTGGATTGCCCGCCAACTTCTTGGAGACCATCAAAGAGAACAAGGTGGTCGAGAAGCTGTGGCAAAAGGCACAGCCCTTGGATCCTGCCCTGGAAAAACTTCTGGGCGACCAAGGGGACATCAAGGAGAAGGTGGTCAAGTTGCGGGTGTCTTATTTGATCTGCCTTCAGAACCTATGCAATGTGCTGGCGGCAGAAGATTTGGGCGGCCACAGTGACGTCTACAACATGTGGATGACCTTGGGCCAGCAGGCCTTTAAGGGTACCGAAGATGTGGCCGTTCTGGAGGCCATCACCTCGCTGATGCGCTCTTCACTGAGTTTGCTTAAGTCGCACAGGGATCTCTTTGGTCAGATGACCGAGAATGACCTGAACATGATTATCGAGGGAGCCAGCAAGTGTACAGATTTGAATATACGTGTGAACTGGAACCGCATGCTGGGCACCTTGGGTTCCCTTCTCTCAGAGCCACTGGTTAAGGTTATAGTCCAATTCCTGTTGACTTCGTGCGCCAGGGAGGAGGACCTGTGGGCCATGTCCGAAGGACTAGACGGTCTCATGGACATTTTCGCCGTGGACGACTGGCCGCAGATCATCGCAGAGCTGGAGATGTGCGATCGCGTCCAGGCACTGGAGGAGTTGTTCAAGTCAAAGCTGCGCCAACAGCGACGCGAGCTGAAGGAGCGACGGGCCACTATTTACACTGTAAAAACTAACTTTGCACGCTTCGTTTCGTATCTGAGCAAGAACTGTAAACAATAAAAGCAAACTGACGACAAGTGTATGTTATTTATATTATTTAGTTCAAGAGAAACTAGGGACAAGAGGATATATGAGATATATTCTCAGCTGAGGAGCAAAGCATTATTGCATCTCTACAAAAAGATTTTAATCATTTAGCTAAGAGTATTCTAATGTTGTTCAGTTGTTTACATTTTTACTATAATAAAAACTATCATGACAAAACATAGACGTGCCCATTTATTTGCCAAACTAAATTATTTAATTTCAAAAATTCATAAACCAGTTTTCTATTTCTAAAAATTATATTTTTAACACGAAAGGAAACAAACCTCGGCAGAGTATATATAAACCTTTGCCGATATTTCTTTTTTTTGCGTATATTTTTAAAAACAGTAAAGTCACGAATATTTCTCAATGAATTTATTAATCTTTCTACGGTGTGATATCGTTGTCTGATTTAAATAAAATTAAAACCGTAATTACAAAATATTGAGTCATTAATATATTCAAATAAATTGAAAAACACCGAAGCTATAATTTTTTTTCCTATGGGAGTCGTCCGATTTGATGAAATTAAAGTACATACATTTGATTTTAAATAGTTTTGACTATAATTGTATAATTCACTCTGTAGGAGGACAAAAAAGGTTATTCGTCCACTGATATTAAATGTTGGATTGCATCTCTCCCCCAAATTCAACATAAACTTAGTCGTTTAAATTTTAATCAATTATTGCATAAAAAATGCATTATTTTTTGTGACATTTACAGTTTAGATTTAACCGGACCAGAACCATTTTCAAGAACATTCCTCATCTGAGAAAAGGATTCCTCAAGGGTCTTAGCAAACTTCAGATGATCGGTTATCGGACAATGACGCCATGCAGATATGGCCAAAATGATGTCGTGTTCACGTGGATTATAGCAGCAGGCATATCCATCGTCAGTAGCCGGTCCATAGCCCATGAAAGCTTCATATTTGGTGGCTACCTGTGAGGTGGACATGCGGAAGTGACTGGACTTCACAAAGCCTGGCGATGAATAGAACTCGGGAACAGGTTGGCTATTCTCCAGAGCCATCAGCTTTAGTCCAAGCAGGTGACGATCGACACCCTTCCCTTGAAGAGCCAATTTAGTGTACAGCTGGTGAGACGTTATTGCCGCACGAAGTTTATCAGCCCGCTCCTGATCTGTGGCATTCGTATCCTGCATGGCGCGGCAGAAGGCCAATGACTCATTGGAGCACGACCGTATAGTTTCAGTACGCCCGCCATCGAATATGCGCAAATGTGCCGATTCATATTGCGCAGCTGGCTCCGCATGCATTCTGCAAAATAGTAAAGACAAGACAAGGTTATTTTTTTTAAGTTTTAACCATCAGTGAGGCCACTTACTTAAAGAAAGCAAGCTGCAACGCCATCTGAACAAAACTGTCCGGTCCCAGGCGTTGTTTTTTTATGAAATCCTTTCCAAAACCGTCGAACTTGAGCACCTTCATTTGCAGCGCTTCGGCAAGTTGATCGACGTTTTTCTGCGCCACGCTCAAAGATTTCTCTACGCTTTTGTTAGCCGATGAAATCTGCAATTTCTGTGCGGGTGCAAAGTCCTCCGATCCGTTTTGCCCAAAGTTAGGATCTTCCTTCCTAAAAAATATATGTGTGAATGAGAGTTACTTATGTGGTTTATACCACCTACATTTTCTGCACCACATAGTCCATCATCATGGCAATGGGTTGGCCCTCAGCAGGCGAGTGCTCATAGGTGAAACCCACGTTGCCATTTGGATTGACCACCAGCTGAATGGTCTTGTCCATCCAGCGGTTGCCGCTGTTAACCTTGCTGCCACTACCGTGGATAAGCGATAGAATTAGTTCGTCAACCTCCTCGCCTGGCTTCAAGGTGGTACCCTCGTCCAGTGAGACGGTGAAGAGAGCACTCTGAATGGTTTTCAGGGCATCCCTGTTACCGGGTGTCTCCGTCAGATGTTCATAGGCTTCGGCCCAGTTGTCTCTCGAATTGGTGGTCAAAATACCATAGGGAACTCCAACTTGTGTCTCCTTTGACATGATATTCTCCAACTGAGCAGCTAGACATGGAGCAGCAATAAGCTTGCCCTGTTTGTTATATATTTGCAGTTGGTAAAACTATAATAAATTTTGGATAGTTAGTTATCAAGCGAAGGCCATGGAATGCGATGGACTCACATGATTCCTGTAGATCACCACCACATAATCGGAGTTTGGGTTGTAGACGATCTCATCGGTGCCCCTTCTTGGTATGCGGCATGTGCCAAATACTTTGCCAAACTGACTATTGTCCAGCTCGTCCTTGCCCATTTTAACAATTGGAATTTTACCAGCATGGACCATGTCATTGAACTTACCCAAACCGTAGATAACTCGGGCCGTGTAGTCCAGAAAAGCGCGTGAATCTTTGAAATTCTGTTTGGGGAAGGTCATGCCTGGACTGACAAAGACAGTGACTGGCGATCGGTACTGCAGGTAGGCAGCCTTCAGCCAACGGTGGGCCAACCAGTTCTTCTCCTTACTGCCGGTTGCCTCCAAAAGCTGCTGCAAATCGCGTCCTTGGTTCTTCAAGAACTGAGCAGTGATCTCCTTTTGCTGTTCCAGCTCCTCGGCGGTCAGCAAGGGCTCAACAGTGGTCATAAACCGATTCAGGGTCTCTTCCAGCGGCAGAACATGATACTTCAGGAGATTCGGCTGCTCCGATGGCGCACTTTTCACAGCGGTACTGTAACTGGCGGGCAGCACCCTTTTGGCAATCGCATTTTGAGACTGCTGCGTCAGCGAGTTCTTTGTCTGGAATTGGAATTGGAATTGCACTGGGATGTGAATTATGGTAAACCTTTACTAGTTTGGCAATATCTTACCAAATTCCACAAAAGCTTTCCATTGCGAGGGAACTGCATCTCGGTGTCGCTGCAAAAGGGAGAAATTGTATACATAGGAGGTCAATTTTTTTAGCCCGTCGGCACCTGTGGCTCTACTAGCACGCAATTAACCTTTGATATTTGTTCATAATCTAGAAGCGATAAACAAAAGGCTCACGATTAGCTAGAGCTAGCAGTTGATTGTCAAATTGGCTTGCAATCACAATCAGACGAACGCTTCCACGTCGACAGAGGTGCAGAGCTCAACTCAAATGCTATCAGCGACCGGTTTACTTTCACTTTCTCTCTCTCAGATTGCGACTTTTCGAGGTCCATTGTTGTCGCGGAGTCAGCGTTTTGTTTACTTATGCAGTAAATTCTGATTAAACAATCACATTTAATCATCCCTACCATTAAAAGTAATATTAGGTAATTTTTGGCCACTGTGCTATTGTTCTTCCCGAGTTTATTATTATCCGTGTACAATTCAAAACAAAGAACAGCTGTTTACATGCAGCAGTTTGAATGGGCTCAACATTTTACGCGCTTATTTGAAATTAGAACGTTTTTAGTAAACTAGCTCAAGCGTTAATAGGTTAAGATTATAGGATATAATAATTAAATAAAATAATAAGGCTTAAAATTAAAAATATTTACTTTAAAACCATCGAGAATATCGAGCTGAGCGACTATCGATATTTATTAACCCAAAGAAAATACGATAAGTCCCCCTATCGTAATCACTCAAGAAAATGAAGTATTATATTTAATAGCCTGATTCCATTGCCGCATTAGTGGACTTTTTAAATGTGCCTGATTCCATTGGCGCATTAGCATTTAGTTAATGCTACTCCGACATGTGAGTGGCACGAACAGCTGATCTGGGCTTGTTTACTTTTGAATTTTGGCAAATCCAAAAGAAATTAATTAAAATTAATGAACATGAGTGAGTTTACTAAACTCTGTAATGCTCAGCAGGACATCCATATTGCGACCGAGACATTTGCCAACTTGAACGACAAAGAAGAGAAGCTGATTGCGTTGTTATGACGGGTTTGCAATGAAGGCCACCACAGTTTCTAAAAAAGGCAAGGATCCCCGTATATGTGGGAGTAATTTTATTCCAGAGATCCAGCAGTAATGCATTGTGGTACTGCGAGCAGAATTTGCAGCGTGCGCTCTAGGTTTCAGTCATTTTTATACGGAATAGATTTTATATTAAAAAAAATCAAAAATTGCGCCAACCTTGCTTATAAAAAACAGCTGTTGTAGTGGTGGCACGAACAAAATATCGTTAAACATCGGTATTTTCCAGTATTTTTTCTAAAAACTTTCGGGGCGAATGGTTTTTAATCGCATTTAAAAATCGCATTTATTTTAAATGCGGCATTTAGCCTTATGGGATTCCCTGTGTAAATAAATGCGCATTTGGCTAAATGCGTTTTAATGCGGCAATGGAATCAGGATATAATATTCATATTTATTTCATGTTTACACTTGGAGCCTAGTTATATATTCGTGAAATATGCAATTTGACAGATGGCGCCACCTAGACCCCGATTGTTTTGTGAGGTTAAAATTAGTTTGATATTTTGTTAGCTGAGTATGGGGTATCTAATAGCCGGAAAACGAGCTATAGCGTTCTTTTTTGTTTGTACATAGGCAGCTAGAGATGGAAAATAAGTGCGGGAACCTTGTGACTTTTGTTCGATAACTACTCGAAGTCGCACTACCGTGCTCCAACTGTCACCTCTAAAACAACAAAAAATAGCTGGCAAACGAAGGCGGATTGTCATTTTGCTTGTTATATTTAAATATATATATGGATGATGTTTTACAACTTATTTTTTTTCGATTGGGTACCACTACACGTTCTTTATTCCATTGAACCTTTTTTTTTGAATCCTGGGAGCCCAACTGCATTGAAAAATTAAAGTTTGGATCTCTGGAAGATTTTGTCGATTTAAATTTCTAAAATAGTGCCTAAAAAAAGTTTACAAATTTTATTAAAGCCAACGGAATAATAATTTTATTTAAATTAGCAATTTATTACTTGTGGAAAGTAAATTAATTGTATTTTGAAACTATTGTTTTGCATAAATGTTAAAGTTAAAGTTAATAACTAACTTTTCAAAAGGCATCATT